CAAGCCCTTAGGGTAGCTGCTCTAGAAACCTAGACAGCTGCAACGATGGGGCAGATAGAATCAGAGTTGTGGACCGGTCTACGTGCTGAACCTCAAGTTCCTAGGTAGTAGGTCATCATCTTCCCTGTGGGGGAAGTGGGTCTGTGGGGAAACAGGGTGAATATATTAAGGACTCCTTCCTAGCCTTGTTGGTAGTCAGAGATGGGATTTGGCAATATGCTTATATAATTCCTTTTTAAATTTCACTTTGACTTTTATTTTTTATTTATTTATTTATTTATTTATTTTTTTTTTAGAGAAACAGCAAATGACAGAGCAGAGGACAGCTGGCCCCAGCCAAACCTGTTGCTGCTGCAGTGCTTGTTATGTCAGGATAGTGGGGTCTCTGGACCCTTCCCCTCCCTTGCTGAGGCTCCTGGATGCCCTCCTGCCAGGCTGTACATTCTGCCTTTAGCCAGGGTGGTGTTGGTGTCATGGCCCCAACTGCCATCCAGCAGGGGAAGAAGAATGCAACAGCCAGGCAAGTGTCTCTGTCCTCTGGGGTGGTAGGAACAGGTATAGACAGGGTTGAGGCAGCAAGGGCCTGGCTTTCTTTGGCACTGGTGGCAAGAAGATTGTATGCCAGCCCTTTGGGCTCGTTTCCACTCCTGGTCTGTCTCTGGCGTTGGATAACTGCATTGGTGCTATTGGTGCCGTCATGTTATATAAGGCTTATATAATCTCCCAAGGTGACAGCTTTCTCTCTGTTCTGAGGTCACACTGATAGGGTGTGTATGTCTATGTAGGAGAAAGGATCTGTGGTTTTTGGATGGATCTGTTCTCCCAGCTCATCCCCAGCCAGGATCCTTTTGATGATCTTGGAACAGGAGAGGTTTAACTAAACAGGTACCCAGTATACCCAAGGTGCTGGCTGAGCATTTTCTCCATTTTGTCCTTTTATTTCTCCTTGCCCAGTGGATTGTTTGGTAGCATGGATGCCATTCTTGATATTTGAGTCCAGCTGTCTTGGGGTTACCTGGCATGGCAAGTGGGTGTGGTGAGGTAACCCCCCAAGATGCAGAACACATGGTACATTGCAGTGGGTAGTAAGGATTAGCTCTACCCTTGAGGTTTTGAACAACAGACTGGAACAATGATGCTGGCATTATAAGACATTTGGAGAAGGCCTAGGGGACAAGAGGTAATCAGGGAAGGGTGTACAGGGAAGTGAATCAGACAGCAAAGATAAACATGGTGTTCTTTTACTGTACTCTCCACTGGGCTGTCCATGGTTACCAGGGCAACAGAAGCTGTGGTGAAATCATGCTTTTCGTTCAGTGGAAAAATCTGGTTCCTCCTCCTCCTCCTCCTCCTCCTCCTCCTCCTCCTCCTCTTTCAATTGCCTGCCAACCCTCCCCACTGGGAGGGTGATGCCCCTAGGGATCAAAGACTCCAGCATAAGCTCTTAATGCCCTTCATTGTCGGTTTTCTATCATCTCCCCCTTTCCTGCATCCCCTAGCTCCCCCTAAAGCTCTACAGTTGGCAGTTGCGTAGGAGTTGGAATACATGGAGGGGGCAGGGCATGGACGTCATCACCGGGCAGGGCTAGCCAAGCGTGGGCAGAGACATGATGCAGCAATGACAAAAACATGGAGAAGGTCAGGAATTGATCAGCCCTTTATGCCAGAGGTTTTTTCAGAATGGTAGATAGGTGGAAGGGGGGAGAGAGATGACAGAGGGAGTCCAGGGTGTGCTGCTCTGGGCTCGGGGCTGTGGAAAGCAGTGATATGCCTCTTGATGAAAAACTAGGGTTCATCCATTCAGAAATTATTGTATGCCCTTAAATTGGGTGAGGTTCCGGAAGCTTGGAAGCCAGAGAGGTATCAGTTAACCTTGACCTTGGAGAGTGTTTTCGTGGGAGGAGGAGTACATAGGGCTAGATCCTACAGCTACATCATTATAAGCCCGGCATGGGGTGGGAAGAGGTACAGGCAGAAGACAGGTGAGGTACCAGACTGGAGGTGGAAGTTAGCGGACAGCCTGTGGGAACGGAAGGGAGAGACAGGTCAGACAGAACATCGGGAAGGGAGGTGCTTAAAATTTGAGCCTTACTGATTGGTGGACATAGGAAAATTAGTATTCAAACTTGTTTAAGAGAGACACATTTGATTTGATTTTAGATGTCTTTGGGATGACTTTGGGATATCAGTATAGAAGCATTTATGGTCAGATACACAGACTGTGAGATGGAAGTTGTTCTGGGAAGAAATTCTAGGAAAAGCTTGAAAGTACAGGTGTATGCCTTGTTCTTGTGTATTATCCTAAGAACGCTTCAGACTCCTGGGCTAGTTTCTGTCAACCACATGCATCTTCTATCAGACCACATCTATTTTTAAACTGCAGACTTTTGTTTATACTTTCTCCTTTTTAGTAGCCATGTTTGAATACATGCAAAATTGACACATGCAGATGCACTTCCCTCCCCATATGCCTTCTTGGCCTTTGCTGTTCACTCAGAGTGGCAGTTCTCAGCCTGTGGGTTGTGACCCATTTGAGGGGTCAACCGACACTTTCACGGGGGCTGCCTAACACCATCGGAAAACATAGGTATCTACATCATGATTCATAACAGTAGGAAAATTTTAGTTATGAAGTAGCAACGAATAATTTTATGTCTGGAGGTCACTAGAACATGAGGGATTGTATTAAATGGTCACAGCATTAGGAAGGTTAAGAAGCACTGACTTTGAAGCTCGGGAAGTGCTATTGACATGCTTTCTTTCTGTCACTTACTGCGGAGGAGCATAGAGTCAGGAGACCTTTGCCAGGTACACCATCTTGGATACACCACTGTTCTTTCCTGGTCTTAGCATATAGTATAAGGAATCTAGTTTTTCCTTCTCTGAAGCCCCCAGAAATTGTGTCTATAGCCATTTTCCACTTTTTCTTGAGTTTCTGATTCAGGTTAGGTTTTTAGAATTAAACAGTCTAGACTTTTTTAGTGCCTTATAGAGCAAGTAGCAGAAATGGAGACCTGAATCTCATAGTAGAGGTACAGAGATACATGATGGCCTCTGTGCCTTTCTGAAACATGAAATGCTAAAAGAATAGATCCTAGCGAACAAAACTATAGTCTATAGACCAGGTGCTTATTTCTGTACTTTATTGGATTTTAGAAATGCCTGTTGCTTATGTATCACCATAATGACATGGCCAAGTAGGTGCAACAGCCATATGACTGCAAACTTGAATCTACCATCTTATCCTTTAACACATTAAAGATAAAAATTTGCCAACCTTGCCGTAGGCTGCCAGGAAAGCACATGGGGATTCTTGCTAGGTCTGGTTCAGACCTCAAAGGTTCTTGAAGATTGTGTATTAGATATTTACAGTGACCTCATGAGAACAAAGTAGATGGTCAGAGTAATTCTGTACTTGGAAACTCCTTTCTTTCCATTCCCTTACTGTGGTGTCTGGAAGGTACCCCACTCTGTCTTGGGGCTTAGAGTCTAGAGGTCCTGAGCAGAGCTGGATTGTGGCCATGGTTTGACAAGTTGTGCCTGATTCTCAGGTTTGTGCACAGGAACTAGACTGACCACAACCCAAGCTTGGGGCAGAAGAAGGGAGATTAATGAGTTCTTTGGTGTCACACAGGATATTTTCTGGTAGTTTTGCTTTGCCCTCTGTCCCAAGGGTGCCAGTCTAAAGATTGCAAGCGGCCCATGTGTCTTGTCTGATCATGGTGCCCATCCACACTGTTAGAACAAAGCCTAGGTTTGGGATTGTGGGACGGACTGTCTGGAATCTTGGGACTGGAATTGGCCCCTGGGCTTCTTACAGTTCAACTTCCTAGAGCCTTTTTGTTTCCTGATTCCTCCCTTGTTGACCTGGTCCTCAGCTTGGAGTCTTAGGCAAACTCCTGGCTGATAATGGGGCTGATTTAAGACTTGGTGCTATGAGCCCACAGCAGCACAACAGCTGGATAAGTTTGGTTTTAGGTCAAGATAGGAACTGAAAGAGGTTGGTGGTAAGAGGAAACCATATGCTCTGATCAGTGGGGATACAAGGGGTGGCAGGTTTATTCCCCTTACAGCTGGGAGGGAGAAAGGAGGAGGTGTCATTAGGAGGTGAGAACAAAGGATCCAGAATAGCAAAGACAGTAGCCAGCCACACCCAGAGTTGCTTTTAGCTAGTAGTGGTGAGACTGACTCCAGAAGCTTCCTCCTTGCCTCCTGATACTTCAAAAGGCCTCATCAGATACTTTTTCTACCTTTCATTTGTAG